TTACTGCTAATATTTCGACATTTATTTTGTAACCATATATTCTTCAGTAAGATACAATGATTTAGAAATTCTGATAGTGTCAGGTGTTAGATGCCTATCGTCGTGTACTGTACATTCGAACTCACTTTATTTGCAAATGCATATAATAGTGGCAGCAACCGTTTTGGGAATCGGAAATACCTCCGTACAGCAGAATACCAATACATTCCATATACTCGGCGTGCTTACAACAAGATGTACGACATTACACATCTCAGTGGCCCATCACACCTCATTGACTGTTCTAAAGGCATATACCGTTTCATGGGTATGCTACCATGCTTTTGGGTCTAGTACCACGTCTCATAACTGGCTCATAACTGGTGTATTCACATTTTAATAACTGAACTATTGCCACATTTCATTAACTAACTCTATCGTTGCATTTCACTGACTAACTTTATCGTCACATCTCATTAATTGGACTGTTATCCCTTCTCAATACCTGGTACACCATGTTCGTTGGTCTGTACGATGGGAGACTCTGGTGATGACGGCAACTGAGTGTATACACCGATGATTAACGCTGTCACAGACAAAGCTTTGACTATTTGCCATATAAGTCCAGTCCTGGTTGATCTGACAGTCTTCATGAGAACGATTATGTGGACTAAACGCCTGCACGCAGGAAGCCCATTCAGTAAACTTTATATATAAAAATGTCTCAATGGAGATGATCTGATACGGTGTTTGATATGTGTGGTGCATATATTATATTTGAGTCAATTGAATTATGAATACCTTGTTACTCATCGTTGGCATGGCGACGAAGGTACTAGTGTATACACTTGGGTGTGTTTTCAGCTTTTTTAAACAGATATTTCCATACATATATGTACATTCATGATTCAGATCTGCGCATATGTGTGGGTTGTTTATCTTCGAGCGATACTCGTCTTATCGCGTTGTGATAGGCCTAGTATAATATCTCGGAAAATAGGTTTATGCGTGTGTGCGTTATTTACTATCCACTATTCATGAAATAGACTAGTGGAGCCAGCATTGCCGCGGCTGCTAACGCTGGTCTTTCCCTCCTCTACTCCGATAACCTTACCTCACATCTCTGCTCCAAATTCTTCCCCGTATAAATCGATACAATGTGCTCGGTTCATAGGGTCTAAGTTTGTTTGGAACCAGCTATACTGTTTTTAAAAAATATTCCCAGTGGAAATATATAAATACAATATACAGAAGATAGACTCTCCTGGGTTTGTACACGATCTATACCTCTACTTCCAATACCTTCCCAGTGCCTGTACATAAACTCTCCTGTTTTTACGTTAAATCTACACCTCTACTTTCAAAGGATTACCAGTATAAATCGATATTATTTTGTGCTCTGAATATATCAATTTCTTAGATAGGTACATCTCGTGACTTAAAGGTTTTATGTGGTTGTGTGTTTTCGAGTACAACGTCGACCATCGATTGTATAAGGCCTTCGTGACATGGTCTTTTAC